GAGGCCTGGAGTCCAACACCTGTGTTCTATTCTTTTCTTAGCATCAGGGATGCTGAAAAAGACTTCCTGTATAGGGGTCATGGGCCCTGAAGATTCCCGCTGCTATAGAAACTTTTGTTAAGAAAAAAGGGAGAATTTTCATCAATCACCAAAAACTTTACCAGATATTCTAGGCCAAACGTGTCGAATTTGGCCTTGGCCTTGAGGGCCGGTGTCCTGCAGGTTTTAGATGTGTCCTTGATCCAACACAGCTGATTTAAATGACTAAATAACCTCCTCAACATGTCTTGAAGTTCTCCAGAAGCCTGGTAATGAACTATGATCAGGTGTGTTGATCCAGGGTGATATCTAAAACCTGCAGGACACCGGCCCTCGAGGCCTGGAGTTCGACACCCCTGGAATAGAAGGAAATAATGAATTCCACCATGAGTACTGTGAGATGACACAGTACTCATGGAGATTATTTCAGCAGGATGGTGTCTCTGAGGCAAGTGGACAAAATTGAGGCACTTTATATTATTTATAATAAACCAGGTGCATCTTCTGTTCATGCAGCTAAAAAAATAGAACAGCGTATTAAGGGGGATGCTTTCTTGAAAACAAAGAAAACCAGTCATCCAGTATCAGAATATTCACTGTACTGTGTCCCTGTCCCTGAATCTCTGAGGGAGAGCCCAGCCATCCTTTGGAGGAAGCTCATTTCTGCTGCTTGCATGTAATTTCAAATGTTGCATTAGAAATTACCTGACAGTTAAAAAAGAACACAACAAACATTACTTCCTTTATGGTCACTCCTGTTCTGTAATGCTTATCAAATGTTATATGGTACCAAGGCCACAACTTAGGCACACGTGCACTTCCTCCGGACCGGCCCACTAACCAAGAGTAACGAACCTGTATTGAAGAGGAAAGAAGTAGAAAGTACAGATATCAATTTAAAAATGTAGAGAGTAAAAGTAGAAAGTTGTCAGAATAATAACTACTCATGTAAAGTACAGATATCTGTAAATTCCACTTTAGTTCAGTGATGAAGTACAACCATATCACGGTTAGCCAGCAGTGTGCCCTGTAGGTCAGGTCTGGGTAACCATATTTCAGTAATAGCTGCTACAATCATGTGGTTCAGAAATATGCTTCTGTGGGGAGAACTGAAGCCAGGTTTAGAACAGTATATCTTTTAACTGTGACATTTCAAGTAACACAGTGTGATACCAAAGCTAACAGCAGCGAATAGATACATAGTTTTTATCGTAGATGACTCTACAACCTTATTCCAAGATGGATTAAAGTTTACTCAATCGAAAAGAGTAGAGGAGAAAAATCTATTTTTCCATTTTTTTAATGGAATGAAAATGTGTTCGTATTTGTTTTAGAATCATAAAATTAGTGATTGTCCATTTGAAGCTAATGCTCAGGTGTCTCAACCCCCCACCCAAAAAACCCACATTTAGTTAATCTGGTCAGAGTCACGTGAATCCCAGCTGTCTATTTTAAGTTTTGAGTGTGTACTAATTTTTTTTATGTCATGTGTAATGTCCATTGCATTTATTAATCACAATTAAATTAAGAGGGGATGACAGTAAAAACCCCGGAGAGAAGATGTCATCAAGTACACTGCCATTCGAATGATCGCGCTGCGTCCGGACTCCCGTGTGAACTTACGAAGTCCGGACTGGCGAGAATGCGAGCACGGATAAGGAAGTGATTGTTTGCGGGATTTGTGGTGTTTTGGTGCAAGAAATAGCAAACCACGATACGACACACACTGGTTTTTACATAATCACGTTGAGGCAGGTACCTCATTGCACAAGCATTACGCCCAACCTATTCTAAGAGTGTAAATATACATTTAGAATAATTTTTTATTTAACTGTTTACAAATGTCAAGGAGTCACAAACAAAGGGAGAACACAATGACAAATGATAAATTTGATGAATAAACAAATAGACAACATTTTTTTTCACTCCAAAATAATACAGCACCACAATGGTAGCCCAGTATTTCACATAACTGTGTGATACTCATGCATTTATTACTTCCAGGCTGGACTACTGCAATTCATTATTATCAGGATGTCCAAAAAACTCACTGAAAAGCCTTCAGCTAATCCAAAATGCTGCAGCAAGAGTACTGACAGGGACTAGAAAGAGAGAGAATATTTCTCCTGTTTTGGCTTCCCTCCATTGACTTCCTGTTAAATCCAGCATTGAATTCAAAATCCTGCTCCTCACATACAAGGTCTTAAATAATCAGGCCCCATCTTATCTTAATGACCTTGTAGTACCATATCACCCTATTTGAGCACTTCGCTCTCGCTCTGCAGGCCTACTTGTTGTTCCTAGAGTATTTAAATGTAAATCTTCTGTGGAACCAGCTTCCAGTTTGGATTCGGGAGACAGACACTATCTCTACTTTCAAGATTAGGCTTAAAACTTTCCTTTTTGCTTAAGCATATAATTAGGGCTGGACCAGGTGACCCTGGATCCTCCCTTAGTTATGCTGCAATAGATGTAGGCTGCCGGGGATTCCCATGATGCATTGAGTTTTTCCTTTCCAGTCACCTTTCTCACTCACAATGTGTTAATAGACCTCTCTGCATTGAATCATATCTGGTATTAACCTCTGTCTCTCTTCCACAGCATGTCTTTTATCCTGTCTTCCTTCTCTCACCCCAACTGGTCACAGCAGATGGCCGCCCCTCCCTTAGCCTGGTTCCGCCGGAGGTTTCTTCCTGTTAAAAGGGAGTTTTCCTTCCCACTGTTGCCAAAGTGCTTGCTCATAGTGGGTCATATGATTGTTGGGTTTTTCTCTGTATCTATGAAGCACCTTGAGGCAACTTTTGTTGTGATTTGGCGCCATATAAATACAATTGAATTGAACTGAATAACTGTCACATGGTATTAAACAGAAGCTGTCAACTGAGCTCTTGAGTGGGAATTCATAATGAAGCAGTTTAATTTGTAGAATTAAGATGCTCTTCATGTTTTTGGCCACCAGATGCCACCAAAGAGGACTGTTTAATACTGTTTAATAATTAACCCTTTTTCAATACAAGTTTCAATGCTTCAGAAAGCTTCATTTGCCCATCACTACTTAAAATGTGATATTGTATAATAGCCTAATGGAACAGAAGTGATGTAGTTTGAACTTGCCCCCAACCACATCCCAAAGATGCTTGATTACATTACATTGCTGAAACCAGTCATCAGAAGATGGGTACACTGAGGTCATAAGGGGATCGTTAGCAGCTACACTCAGGTAGGCTTTGGTGTTTGAAAGCTGCACAACCAATGCTAAAGGTCCCAAAGTGTGCCAAAGTTCCCATATACCATTATACTACTAGCACCAGTCTGAACCGTTTATACAAGCAGGATGGATCTATGCAGTGATTTTCTCTTTTTCCCTATACAACACATTTTCCCTATACCACAGTAGGGTTTTGTTACAATCCCAGTAGATCAGCAGTTTCCGAAATAGTCAGACCATCCTGTCCGGCACCAACAACCATGTTCAAAGTCATTTAAATCCCCTTTCTTCCACATTCTGGTGCTTGGTTTTAACTTTGGGAGGCATGTCTCTTTCCCTAAAATGCACTAAGATGCAGCCATGTCAAAGGCTGATTAGATATTTGGATTGACCAGCAGTTGAACTGGTGTAGCTAACATAGTGATTGGTAAGTGTATCTGACTTTATTTTCTGTGGGGAAACTGCAGTGGCTGCTATTGGAGTTGCCAAAAATGTTAGAACAATTCAAGCTGAAGTAGAGTGAGCATTTGAAAGTTAAAAATAGTTGCTAACTGTACAGTATTGCCTTTAATACATAATTTAAGGTCTTCAAAGTATTTGTCTTAAGGAAGTGCATGAGGTCCTTACAACAGTCTAATATTAACACAAATCCAAGCCAATAACAAGATAAAAGTACTCCTAGCGCTGCAATTGCTGTTCTAATTATAACTCTGGTATATACACGCCTTTCTACTTATTAAACTATTATCTTGTTTGTGACATGACCAACCTGTTTATCAGACTGCACACAGTG